CTGCGTAGACGGGCCAACGGATAGGATAACATGGTTTTTAACCCTAATATTTAACCAGTTGTTGAAACACATTCCAGCCCAGCTTACCAATACCCAGATGTTTCTGGATCGTCTACGTACTGCGCAGCCCAGCAGGGCGCACGTGATGGAGTACTTCAACGTCACCGCCCTTTATACAAACGTATCGAATGACTCCGCAATGCAAGTCATATTCGAACTCTTTTACAACACGAAGGAGAAATAAACATGTATGGCTTCAAGATAGAGCACTTGATGACACTCTTAAAAGAATGGCTGAGCTGCTCAATCTTCAGATGGTCCGGAAAGTACTACGCTCAAATAAGAGGGTTGGCAATGGGACAACGACTGGCTCCAAGCCTTGCCATTGCATTTATGTCCAAGGTGGAAGCACCGGTGACTGATCTCGGGCCGCTACTCTACTGTAGATATATAGATGACTATTTTGTCCATTGTTTAACGCAAGAGGAAATGGACAAATGTTTTGAGTTGTTAAATGCACAGTCAGAGTATATCAAGTTCACCCAGGGGAAGCCGAAAGATAAATGGCTTCCATTCCTGAACATCCAAATTCACCTGTCAAAAAATGGCTAAATTACAAAGTGGTAGCGAAAGCCAAGTAGTAAAACATCTTGGTACATTACCTCTCTTCTCACCCCTGTCACACGAAAAGGCGCTTGTAAGAAACATGTTTCGAACAGCAACCAACGTGTGCACGGGAAGAGAGCAGAGAGAGGAGTCCTGGAACTACGTGAGGCAAATAGCCATTTCTAATGACTACGAAACTGTAGCTCGGAATAGGGTAGGCAAAATCCTAGGGCCCCAAACGACAACTCTAGCGGTAGAAATGTTCCGTTTATCCTACCCTTCATCTCAAATGTTGTAAGTACAGCTATAAAACGCTGCATAAGAAGGGAGGGTCTAGAGAATTCGGTAGACGTAGTTGAAACCGAGTAATCTTAGGCGCCAGCTAGTTCGTAACCGCCTATGTAACCGTCTATGTCCGACGCAAAATTGCATAATTTGCCCCAATGGTAGAGGCGGTGATTGCATGAGCTCGCGTATAGTTTATCTGATGTCCTGTTAGGCGTGCGGAGGCGAATACATTGGCGAAACGGGCAGACCCCTCTGTGCTCGCATAAAAGAACACCTAACCGGCAAACGTCTACCAAATGCCCAAGTTGGCACGCATAGGACCCAGAGACATAACGGGGAGGACTTTGAAGTACGTGTCAGGATCCTCGCGCAGGAATCAAGAACACAAATGCGCAAAATTCTCGCGTTCTGGATTAATTTTAGAAATCCGAAAATGAACAGGGGGAAGAATACCTCATGTCACGCGTGATATTGGGCAGTATATAAACCTGTTATTCTGATGGGAGGGGCACATTACGTTTCCATGTGAATTCTGTGCGGTTGGCCTTCACGCGATATACTGAGTGGAAGACTCATAGAAAGCGGTGAGTGTGCAAAGCTGTGTTCAATGTGGTTGAAATCTTGGTTCAGCGTTTTCTCTGTTTGGTTATGGAGGTGTTTGGTCGAATAGATTGCTGTCAACTTGACCTTTCCAGGCTCTGAGGAAGGCGAAATCCGCCGAAACGTCAACTTATTTGTGAATAAAGAATAAAAGTAACACTTCGCGTTTGCTCAACAAGAATACGAAGAACTGATGAAGAATCAATCCATTGATCACCACTATTGTAGTATTGATAAGGTTACGCGAGTTTCTTTTTGCAAAACTTCATTGTATATAGGAACTACCCACTATGAAGAGACACTGACAGGTGAAGCCAGTTCATTCTTGCGGTTCTCCATTCCACTGGATTCAAAGTGGTGTTACTACGAAGATATCCCAGGAAATAACTAGTGCTGTAAACTCTCGACTCGAATCGTTGAGGCTCTGAAGAAGGTGAAGTTGCCGGAGTGTTAGCCAAAATAAATTTTTTTAAACAACCTCATGTTTGCTTATCAGTACAAGAAGATATTGATTATTCATAAAGACAAAAAACAAAACGTTTGGTGTTGATCAATTCCTGAGGGATGCACCATGCACTCGGCTTCATCAAGCAGCCTTAGAGGTGAGTGAATGTATATCTGGGCTATATATAAGTGTTGGTTTGAGGTGGCCCAATAATATATATATATAAAAGTCAGTGCCACATTTCTCCCAGACAAATGAGGTATCAATTTACAGATGCCTGAGGGACGGTAGACTTGTTGAACCCGAGCATAGGATCGAACCAACACTGCATCACCTTTAATCACTATGCTACCCGCTCCCACACTGATTGATAATACTGAGGTTAAATGAAGGCCATGAAAATCTCAAATCCGGTACATTTGTGTTGGCATGTTAAAATTAGGTGGGATTTGAGGATGAAGCCGAGCACAAGGAAGGAAATGGTATTAGGAGCTTATGTGGGGGAAGTAGTAATTATATGAAGGTAGCCTGACAGATACGTCCTTGGCTCTGTGTATCCTCTTTCTGCATTGTATTGCTCGAGCACGTAATGCGTATGAATAACAACCGATGGACAAGAGCCGTTAGTGACTGGATTCCTCGGGACGTTAAACGTACTGCAGGAAGACCACCGACCCGATGGTCAGAGTTCTTCACATAGAGCCTTGAAGAAAGATATGATGCTCGACGAGTCCATAGAGCGACCAGAACCCGATGGGCTACTCTTGCACGCGACAGGGAAAAATGGAAGATTTACTGGCGCCGGCTCGAGTCACTCGACGATCAACGGGACTACAGGTGATGCAGGTGATTGCTCGAAAACTGCTAGATTACAACGGCAAATGGAAATTGAGGTCGTGCTCAAATAACCGGCTGGTTTGTCGAAGTGACAATGGTAAGAGTGTTTTAACACAGATGAGCAAGTCTTAATATTCAATTTTGGCCTACGTGTCCCGCTAATAGTTGGAAATTCTTTCGGGCAAGCCAGGTTGTCAAGAACTAGAGGGATGGTGACGTCACGCGATTGGTCATCAATTAGTACACGAAGTCAACGATAATTGAGCGTACCAACCAAGATTGGATGTGTACTCGTGCCGGCAAAACACCCATTCTGCTCAGGTTGTTCAAAGGCAAATCACGAATGGATGAGTGAACGGATGATAGGAAATGCAAATTGTTTTCTTCGAGTATGGGATTAAAAATAACAATTGAATAACGAGGTTATTACAAGGCGGAATTGTGCAAGTTTCTAGTAGAACAACGTTAATAATAATTTCTTACACAGATTACAACGTTGTTACTAGCCATTTAAATGGATGTCCCGACCAACCTTGAATTCGAAAGACCTCTTAACCAACTTTCATGTTGGATCGCCTGTTTATTTGTTCTCAGAAATACGATTTCTTTTAGAATGTTTAGTAAATAGTGACCGAGGTACTTCAAGCGTTTGCTTACAAAGTGCAAATTACCTTATTCTACCAGAATGAGTTCCGATTTTCTAGAGCCTGTAACAGAAATTGCTTTAATCGTATTGCTTCACGACCCATATTTTGAATAGGAAAACAAATGAACAAGCGGAATTTCGTCCAACAGTGCACGACAGTGCTCCCAAGTGTATCGTTAGTGCTTGCGACTACCGTGCTTGTATCGGAGACTTTAAAAGCTTTATCTTCATCGTCAACAGTTTTCAAAGCTTTAATTCTAACATTTTTGAAATTCAGAGGACACTATAAAAACTGTTATATGCGGTTAAGACAATAGGACAAAGTCTATTCTATGAATTCATGTGTAACGGCTCACAGCTCAAGGACGTGAGGGGCGTTCGCGAAAGTGCGCAAGAACTATGAACCGTTTGTGAGGTACCTGTGAGCAATGAACGTATTTAACTTATGTTAACACGGATAACATAATTACACGAAAAACAGCGATAACACTAATTTGTCAGCAATTCAAGGGCTAAGGATTACATATACTATCATTATGACCTAAGCAAATGAATCTACAAGGTAAAATCAAATGGGGTGGAATTAATGATGGAGCTGGCGAGGACGGTCTCGGCGGCGTCATTGGGTCAAATGGCGGGACTACTGGGTGTGTCCCATGGCCGGAACGGGATATGGACGCAGAGGACGCGCGAGGCGTTGCAGCCACGCGATCCCTATCGATCCTTGAACTGTATTAGTTATGCGGATAGAGAATTCTCTATCTGATTGAGGAATTCTCTATATCATGAAGGTTCGTTCTTCAGGTACTTTAATCCTTAAGAAATTATCGTCATTTGTTGCAAAACCAGATTATGGCCTATTGTGCTGAAAGTCGTCATTTCCCAAAAAAAAAGTTGAAGACGAGAACTTTTTGTCACGTGTTAGTTCGATCCATCCCCATTTTACTATTACGAAAAGTGGTCTCCTAACATTATTTCAGTGATGGAAAAAATGGATCCACACAGCGAAGAGGACTACTGGGATACCATAAAATCAAATAAAATCCAAACTCCTATTCATTTTAATTCACTCGGGTGAGAACTGCCTATATCTGGGAGCAATTTCGATTTATAGGGGACTTTTTTTTGGTCAAACTGTGATAACTTCTGAGTTTGATGCAGAAAACGAGGATCAGAAATGTCTTGTATTATACAACGATGTTTCGGAAATGTTTTCCAGCGAGGTGAACTCACCACCGACAGTGCCCTCTCTGAAAGTAGTGTGCATCTCGGATACACATAATCGGCTGCATCTAATTAAGGTTTGTACCTCGAAAGTCTTCTCATGCAGAATAGTTTCCATTATTTGGCGTCTTCATCTTCTGTTTAATCTTAGTGTTTCATTCCTTGATGCACTATTGACATTGCGAATTGCGAAATTGAAAAAAAACATCTACCTGATAGTTTCAGTTTTTGAAATTGACATTATTTCAAGGGCTTAACATTTGATTGCTTTCACAAGGATGCGGTTTTTTCATAGCCAAGCTGTTACCACTGACCACTTTCTGAATTTCTAGTCGTTCTCCCATCTTTTGGTGGATGTTCCTAAAACTTCCTGTGTTTCTTTTACAGGACATCCCTGATGGCGACGTGTTGATTCACGCTGGTGACTTTACGAATTTCGGATCGGAAAGCGAACTTATTAAGTTTAATGAAGACATAGGCACGTTTCCTCTTTGTATCATGTTCATCTGATTATATACACTTCGTTAACATCTCGTCTTAACTACATCTCTAGCTCATTCGAAGAGCAGATTAGAATTTTACGACTCACGCCAATCCGAGCATACCTTTTCTCGTTTTCCATACTATTTTATCTCGTATCTTTAATAAAGGTCGCCTTCCTCATAAGCACAAAATCGTTGTGGCTGGTAACCACGATCTGGGTTTTGACGATTCCGAGGAAATGAATGGGAGGTTGCCGCAGTACCAAGGCCATGGAACACCTAAAGGCTATCGTCTGCTTAAGGACGTTATATGGTTACACGATAAAGGTGTTAAGGTAATCAATAATGATGTTGTTCAAGAAATATGGGTAGAATGAGACAGCCTTTAAGCAGTTATGCTAGGTGAAGGCTTCACGGTCTTCGTTAGGAATTTGATGCCTGAGTGTTTGGTCTTCATGAAGGATTGCATAGACTTCCGGAGAGTCAAGGTACCTAGGAGGTTAGAAAAGGCTTCCAACAAATATGCTCCTGGTCCACTATAGGATAACTTTGAGAGATAGCAAGATAGGAAGGTATACTCGGTTTTCGGCAGAAATAGAGGGGAGTTACTCATTGGTTACATGCTGCCAAAAGAATTACAAACAAAACTTTGATTTTTCTGACCAGAAAAACCGTTGTTACAACAGCATTATACAACTAAAATCTCACGACCATTCTATGTTGCCTAAGTCTACTGCAGCTATGATGACGATTCGAAGCGAATGTAGGATTAATAAAATGCGACCAACTAATAATCCAATTAGGACTAGTTTATCAACCTCATTTAAGCTCAACAATCTTGCGAAAACTGCGAAAATTAAGAACATGCTGATTATTTCACTACCGAGGTTAAATGGCGGTGGGTTTGAAAATTGTTTTGCTATTCGCTTTGTGCCAGCTTACATAATACCAACTGATACACGGTGCATTATCCACTGAAAAACAAGCTATTATCAACGGATAGTCTTATGAACAACAACAGCTCTGTATAAAAGGAGACTGTCGGTGTAAGTGGCTTATCCGTTCGGTGTTCACCGAAGAGGATCCGTCTCGGTACGACAACGAAGAGGCTATATCGAGAATACGGAGGACTATGGATCACTGACATGGATCATCGGCTCTGATGAGGACAAGACGCCAAAACGTTAGCCGAAATAAATAAGTTTATCAACCTCGTGTATGCTCAACAATTTGAGAACCAAGTAAGACTTGTGCGGCTGAGAGAGTGTAAAGCAGTTTCGGATTTTTCAATATTCGTTGTACAGTGCTCATAGCTTCTACAATGGTATCGTTGGGGATTCTAACGCCAAGGTTGGCCTGAAATGAATATTCTGATAATGGGGCCCACAGGTTTGATGTGAATAGATAAAATGAGTGACTTTCATAGTTTATTGTGGTGACCAAGATCACTCACCTCAGTTTACAATTCTAGAAGTCCTCTCAATATTATATGAGTCTCGAAATGTACAGCGCCAAAACGAAGCAGACAACCTAATATTAAATAGGTGCTTTTGCCTCACTTTTCGAGAGCCACTCCGTATGCCCACATATTGGTCGAAGGAGGATGGATACCCTGCAGTCCTTTTCGACATGCGACGTCAATGGTGAAGAGCGTTGCAGCACTGAATATTCTGCCGTCATTCATATGGTCAATGGATAGCCACGCGAGCACACAGTGCTTTGAGGTTTCCTTACGATATGTCACAACCACACTATGATGAAAATCGTTGTTGTGTACTGTTAATGCAATAGTTGTTTAAGCTCACTTTTATCATTTTCAACGAAAAAAAACGTAATCGACAGGAACAATCTTGGAGGTTCTCTGCAAGCAGATATTTCCGCGAGTGGCACAAGGTTTTTATTCGAACATGTTCACGAAAAGAACTTCATCTTTCTATGACGAAATTACCAACAACGTACTGAGTGGGACAGGGCGATATCACTACGGTATAGTACAGGAGTCAAGACTGATGGCCAGAGATCACAAGGATTTTTCTGGTTACTTGGACATATGGATACTTGGATGGCCCCTCTTCATGGGTTGCACGTGCTCCTGCATAGTTTCCACTTCACGGAGGTTTGCTGGTTTAGCCAACGTGGTTCCCTGGATTCTTGAAGAAAGCCTGGTCAAAATCTACCCCAGGTCGTCACCACTACAGGAAGTCGCAGCCCTTGTGGATCAGAGAGAGATTTGCCACTATGCAACTAGTTCGATACCAGGACGATGATGGTTTCTGATATTGGCTTACTATTAGCTAGGCTTCAACTAGAAGAACAAACGACAGATGGACGAAGAGAACATTAGTGTGGACTCCAAGAGAATGCAAACGTCCCCTAAGGACTACCACCTACACGTTGAGCTGACGTGTTCGTAAACAAAGTTAGTCAGCTGTACCCTGAACTGCAGTTGTTTTACAGAGCACTGTATGAGACTCACACGCGTTACCATGCTCGAACAAGTCCACCACCATGGACTACGATTGCAAGAGAAGGGAACTAATGACATATGTGCTGGGGTCCGCACAACTCGTGAAGACGGACCGTCCAAGTATCCAAGTAAGTAATTAAGTATTAGCTAAGTTTCTTGATGGAAACGCCAGACTCCTTCTCAGCTTGGGAGACCCTACCGGAGAGCTGAGTCTCCCCACTGTACATCGCAGCCCGACACCTTGGAATACCTCCCAGCCACGATGAGGCGGTAAACCATTGGGAGGTTTCTGGTTAGTTTACTCCCGTAACACCAAGCATTAGCCGGACGGAACGAATATCGACTGCACATATGGAAAAATAAGCCTCGGATGAAATTTTAAATTAACGATGTTTATGAGAAACGGACTCTTTTCTGATACCACTTCCCCCTAGAGAATATAGAGTTACGCCGCTGTCTAGAAGTCATACGTGCTGTCGAATGCGTCGACACATGGAAATCCACATGGGTCGGAAACGTGGTGCATGACCACACGAGTGACACAGATGCATGCACATACTAGGAAGAGTGCCAGCATGGTGATAATGATTTTCTATGGGTTGCTAAACCAAAAATTTAATGCGGTTCTTGACACTCGAGCAAGTGAAGCTCACTAGGCACAGAGGCGAAAAGGCGCAAACTTTGCTAGCACTGTAGTCACTCTGTCAGTGGGTAGATACAGATGATATTTCAAAAACCCAAGGAGTTAGATATTATGTCCACATAAATACTTGCGTATTGAAATGTTTGTTTGGTACCTAAACATTATTATCATTTAGTTCGATGGAGTGACTTTTTTTGGTTCTTCTTGGCATCCGCTCTATGGATATCCTTTCTATACACCTCGACCTAAATTAGAGGAAAAGTGGAGGTCGTTGCCATCCGGTATTGAAATTCTGATCACTCATACACCAGCTCTGGGTGAGCAGCCGTTTATTTTTCACATTTGTTTCTAAAATATGCGACCCATTATCTGGAAAGTTGGTACCGCTTCAGTAAAGAGGCAAATTTCGAGAATAATAAAATTGGACGGTTCTGTACAGTCTCTCAGGAGAATTGCTGGTTTATCATTATGACTTATGCTCTTATTGAAAAGTAATCAATAAGGCAGACAAGTTTAAAAGGCTTTCAATATGTTTATCAGTAGGTAACTATTCAAATGCGTTAGTCATATCTTACTCATCTTATGCATATTTCAAGACTGTTATAGCTGGTATAGCTGGAAATTTTAGCGTGATTACGGAAGATTCTGATTCTAATATTTATCGGTTACTCACTCGTTCATTCGTCGTCATCTGGCGCAGTGGTCGAAGGCGCCCTGTAACACACGTGGGATCGATCCCCGCGCCCGTGGCCCTCCAAGCCTTCCATCCTCTCGAGGCCGGCAAATTGGTACCAGACCTGTCTGGGAGGATAGCAGCACTGGCTCGATGCATCGGTAGGCCACCGCGAGTCATTGTAAAGGCCACATATGCACTCGATGACCTCCAAACGGTGCTTAATGAAGTCAAATGCACGGTGCGTCCCTCAGAGATTGATCAACGCCGAGAGCTCCATCCTTTCTTTTGTCTGTTATTCTCCCTCTGTCTCACTCCGTATTGTATCTTTTGTTAGAGATGTTAATAGATTACAAAATAGCAAATATAACCGCCTATTCTGTACTGGCTCTAATTATCGCCTTCGCCGTACGAAGATTTGATTCAGCCATAAACTAGGAAAGAATTCTTGTTTTCGTCCAGGAAAAACGAAGCGAGTCGTTTTTGGCGAGGATATTCTCAATAAAATCCTCTTCCTCGTATGACTGGCAGATAAACGAAGACCCAACCGAGGACAACACCCTGGTTGACAAAGGACTTAAAACTTATGCCGATCTCCGCTTCACTACTTCAAACACCAAGTTCAGATTGCATCTCCGTCACCACTAAGTAGTTGATTGAAAAGAAAGAGAAACTGAACTTGATCCTATTGCAACACATCTAACATGGCTGAAAATAAATCCCAAGATCTGTGCAGGACTATTTACAGAAGTTTAGAAGGCAAGAAAAAGTAGAAAAATAAATCGATATATGTAGAATAAGTTATTCGAAGCATCTCAAAAACGAACTAGTCTGAAGAAGTGCCATCGGGACTTCTCGCGCCATCAGCAGTGATGAACGAAGATGGGATTACCACTGCATCCCGCCATTGTATGGAATAGGTAGCTGAAAGTTTCTGTACTAATCTTTCTAGATCCACAGTCACTGTCTCAGACCTCGAAATCTCCGCTAATGAAAAACCGCGTAGGATACTACCCTTTGAAGCTCAAGCCACGGTAGAAAACGTGAAGAGATGCACAGCTCTAGGACTCCATATTATCACCTCCGATTTCCCTAGAGCTGGTGGCCACAAGTTACATATACTTCTCGCAACCCACATGACATTTTGTTTTCAAAAACAGAAAATTCTGGAGTAGTGGTGAACCTCGCGTACAGTCATGATACCCAAGGATACCGAAGGACCTTCGTAACCACCGTGCGATATGCTTTTTGAGGCTACTCAAGAAGCTGTTCACGAGGATCCATCTATTGTGCATATCAGAGACTTTGGATAAGGCACAATCATTTGAGCAAGGCGAGATTTTGCTACGTGGACTGCATCCAAACTGGGTTAACGGTCATGGTAGTTTACTGGGAGTACCATCTCTCCCTTGTTCTAACCTTTGTTGACTACGAAAAACCTTGTGACAACGTCCACCCTATCAGCATTCGTGGAGCAAGAAATGGATTCATCTTATATACCATAAAAATGGAGTTTTTTTCAATCGGCCTATTTTCATGCCTATGTAAAAAGGTGTTACGCAATGCGACACATTATCGCCAAAGTTATTTACATCAGCACTCTAGTGTATAACAAGGTCATTCGATTGAGACGAGAACGGCATATGCATTGATGGCAGATTCCTATCAAATCTTTGTTGTGCCATAACATCGTCATCTTTTGGAAGAGTACCAGTAAAGCAGAGGCAATGTTCAATGAACTCAGCGAAGCGGGAAAGAAAGATTGGACTGCGCTTAAATAGGACGAAGATTCGATTCGTGAAGAACCTATGGTGAGACGGTGAACATATGGAACTAAGTGGTTCTCTATAGAAACCACCTGGTACGTGTACCTTGAACGTTCAATGAGCATAGAGAACAGTATGAAGGAGGAATTAGACAGAAGAAGGAGAACAGCATGGGTCGCATTCGGGTCCCTCAAAGAAGCCATTGACCAACTAATGGACCCAAAATTCTGTACTCATCTTTTCGATCCAGCATTCCTTCCAGAAATACGTTATGAAGCCGTCGGTGATACTCCAGTCATATGAAGAACTCTTTTCATCATCCACAGAGCGCTTGAGCGATGTCTTCTGAAACCTAACCGGCTCTCACAACGTTTAGCCCGAATGCGCCGCTCAAGTCTGCAAAACCTATCCTATTTTCAAGGTCCGGGAGAACAAACGTAATGCCGAATACAGATGGGCGGGTCATATATTAAGAAGAACATATGGCAGATGGACGAGAAGAACAGTTGAGCGGACTACAAGAAAATGCAAGCGTCCTAATACACGACTATCTAAACGATAGGCGGACGTACTCGTGGCTAACATCAACCATCTGCACTCGCAGATGGCAGCGATTTCAGGATTACCGAATGGGTCTCGCTGACGCCACCATGTATGAAACAGACTATCTCCATGGATGATGATTGCGCAAAAGAAAAACATGGAAATTGTGCTGGGTGACGGGCCCCAGCGCTATTTCCAAGACTCCAAGGAAGTGATGATAATAATATACTTGATACTTACTTGCTACTTGAATGGCCCGTCCTCATTGGTTGTGCGCACCCCAGCGTAATCTCCATTTTCTGGAGATTTGCTGGTTAAGTCTTTCTTGTCACCACGATAGACAATCGCAGCGCTTGTGGATCAGAGGGAGATTTACCACCATGCGACTTTGATACCAAGACGGTGGTGGATCCTGGTATACGTTTACTTTTAGCTAGGCTTCCTGATGGAAACGACGGACTCTTTCTCAGCTTGGGAGACCCTGCCGGAGGGACGAATCCCTCCGCTGTACATTGCAGTTCGACACCCAGGAACACCTCCTAGCCACGATGAGGCGGTATACCGTTGGATGATAATAATATAGTGATAGCAATGACGATTACGATGGTAATGGTAATGGCACTAATAATGTTGATAATAATAATGGTGATAGTGGTTATAATGAGATTATTGGTGATAGAGGCATGTGTGCATCTGAAGGAACCTGGACATTGGTTCTTCGAAATATCGGACAAGCACAGAGATATATTTGCAATCGACGCAGTCGATTCATGCTGCCACTAATTTTACAACTGGTGCTCTCATTTTACAACTTTCATCTGGAGGAAAATTTTGTGCTGTTTGATGTGCATTTGTGCATACCACGAGTACTCACTAATAACAAAATCAGTCGCAGCAGCTAACCATCTATTACTAACGCATCGATATTATCGGATTTCAGGATATTTGGACAAATTTGGTAAGGAAAGATGGGGTTGCCGTTATCTACTTCGTGAGATTGAGGAACGAGTGAAACCAAGGTGTGTCGAAATAGTGAGACTTCTCGCATTTATCATACTGTTCTATCTTAATTCAAAGTAAAGTCTCAGTTATCTTAAAAACTGACCGTCAATAATTTCCTACATAATTGAGCTGACGGCGCGTATAGCACAGTGGTTAGAGGCGTTTTGCAACACACATGAGACTACAATGATGCTGGGATATATGTAAAACTTGGACCCCATGCCACATTCGACCCCATGAATACCCTTTCCAGGCCTCACATGATACCCATCGTACCACTGACGTACTCGTTCCGTCTTTGTCTCAGTCACTTATTTTTTAATCTAACGATGATAATCGTAACCCTTTTATTTACTACTTTTTTCTTTTTAATGGTAGGGTATTTTGCGAATATAACTCGTATATAATGCTGAGATATTTGCAAAACTCCGGACCGCAGGTGTATGCGGTGGGGAACGAACTCAGCTAGTTCTATTGATCTTTTGCCATCAGCAATCACCCGTCAACGGGATTGATCTGAAGAGCCCAAATCGAGACAGGCAAAACGAAGGACCCAGATGGTGTGGTGGTGAAGTGCGCTACTCCCCGGAAAGGACAATAGTGCGCGTTAGTTCCCCACCGCATACACCTGCGATCCGGAGTTTTGCAAATATCTCAGCATTATGTACTAACGAAGATATCTAAGAAAGCTGGCTGAGAGGTGCTGTGTGTAGCACGTGACCCGCTGGAAAACGTAATTGCGAGAATCTGGTCTGGGGTCTAAGTTTTGCAAATATCTGAGTATCATTGGGGAAAAATGATAGGCAGTGGGTAAAAAGTTATACAAATGGGATCGATCCCGCTACACTAGCTCACCGAGCCTTCCATACCTCTGCGGTCGGAAATTGGTACCAGGCTTATCTATGACGCTAACAAAACTGACTCAATACATCGGTAGGCCACTGCGAGTCATTGCATAGGCCAGATGTGCATTGAATCCCTCCAGCGATGCTTAATGAAGTGCAGTGGATGGCGTATCTCTCAGGGATCGATCTCCCAGGAACGCTAAGAAATTTAAGAGCTCTTTTATGACTGGGCTGAAATGAGGTTGGTATAAAAACTTTTATTCTGCTAACACTTAGACGACTTTGCCTTCCTCAAAGCCGCGCTGAGTCGTTGTTCCATAGCTGGTTGTTGTCGCGAGCTAGGTATTTGTTGTTGCATCTAGTCAAATCCATTTGAGGGATTCTTCATAGTTTTTTAAGATACAGATTGCTACGCTATATGCCAAAAAATGAAGTACCAACTGCTAGGGCCCATTGCTCGCTCAAACTAGGTCATATTGGGCGCGGCAGTTTTTCAACACTTGTCCTGTATAAAAGAGCGCCGCCAAGTTAAGTTCTCCACTCAGGCGGTAGGTCCTCTAGTGGATTCGACTCGATCCAGTAGAGAACACTCACGTAGTGAAAAAAGCCAACTGTCGACCATTGACTCGGATCAACGTGGCTCTGAGGAAGGCGAAGACGCCGAAACATTACCCGAGTAAAGGCTTTTTTGCCAAGCTCATGTCAGCTGAATCACACAGAAAAGTGTTGATTACTGTTACCTAGGTTTCATGAATGCCGGTTTTTAAGATATATCACGGTTTGCGCAGGACGTAAATAAGTCTGAACCAAGATGAGCAATCGGCGAACCCTGTTTAAGGGTGCTTTTTGTCTTGCATTTTTAATGCCAGAATTTTTCTACAAACGATGCTCTTCATGTCCTATAGAACGTTTTTCGGCGATACTATTGTTTAGTTAAAATATGCATTGCTGAAGGGGGACCAATAAATTGATCACAACGCCAAAACCGAATATTGTAGATTAACTAGCGGAACATTCGAATGTATGCCTGCCAGAAGAACAATGTTAAAAAAAGCTATCAGCACGGAAAGCTCGCGAACAAACCGGAACCGTTGTGTTATACCAATGGGTGTTCTCCACCTGAAATTAAACCCAGAGTACAACACATCGCAGAAACCATTTTAAAGAGTCTCTTTGAAGAAGTAGAAGTTTCAGGTTTCACGTCTTTGGTCACGTTCATGAATGCTACGGAGCTTTATCCAATGGCCAAACGGTAAGTCAGAAAATCGTTTAGTATGATATCGAATGAATTCTTTGTTCTTGCTACGTACCAATGGTGCATTAAACATATAAAACAAGTAATTTATCAGTCAGATGCCCTCTTTCTTGGTACTTACGATTAATTTGCACTTTTTGGAATCTCTTTTTATAGTCGGCGAATTTTTCGGTACTCTGGGAAATCCGTGACTCCTTAATATTAACTTCAATTTTCCACTGAGCTCTTTCGGACCTTTGTGACTATGAAAAAGAGAAAAACATGAGGTCGCATGAACGACTTTAAGGTGTTCATCAATGCAGCGCAGGCCAACAGGAATAACGAGATTGTCAACAAGCCACTGGTATTTTACATTGAGAAACGCTAGATTCTTCTAAAGCACGGTAACTGTATTACCAATAGAATACCTTTAAGAACATGTTGTGATGGTGGTTCATTTAAACCGCTTTTTATTCTTCAGTAAACTGTTGATTTTCGGTGATAACGATTGAAACGATAAAGTTTTTCATTTCAATGGTACAAAGACATCATTGGATATATCAATATAGTGTACCATGAAACTTCTGAAGAAATGATAAACGTGGAGAAAATGGAAAAGAGTACCCATAATACATCACGAAGAAGACTCAGAGATACAGGAATTTGGTTACAAAACTTTAGAAATAAACTGAGGTTTGAAATGTGGCCTATTCGAATGGTTAGAATTAACACCATAAGTCTTTTGTGTATTCGTAGACGATGAGCAGTACAATTCATTCTCGAATGAATTAGTCAAACTGTTGACACTGATTGCCGTGCTCTTATGATTATCTAACAAGCATGAAGGTGTAGGAATTCTACGAAATTGAGTCATCATAGATTTATTCCTAACAGGTCGCTGTCATTTATGGAAGGGCGCCGTAACTGTTCGCAGACAGCTACCGTATAGTCGAATTTCTGCACTGCCGGGAGCAAGCAGCACAGCTACATACTTTTTCCCAGACAGTGGGCACTTTTTTAAATCGTTTTTTTGTCTGATTTTCTCAGCCCATCCCACGCCGTAAACCTTGATAATTCTAAAGGCGCTAATTTAAAAGAGATTCATCGGTGGCTCGGATTCGTGCTCGTCTCTTCGCTAAACTGCCAGCGGCTATCGTCTACTCATAACTCAGAACTCATTCGATGTGCAATCGAATTAAACACACCACGTCGGATTATTATCCCATATCGAGGATATTACGTCCGAAAAGCGAAATATAAAGTGGAAACTGCTATCGCAAAATTATGAGCCGCCTGGTCATTTCCCGGATTTCGCTGTTTGATATGCAGTCTATTAGTAGTGATGACCTAACAAAGTTGGCTGACACAAAATCGAAATGATGCATCGAAAAGCTTAGGAAGACTACAATTAATTGCGTCGAAGAGCTTAAAATAGAACTGAATGCGTAGCAGAACTTGAAATCTCGACTTTCACAGGAATGGATAGCAGTTACACATTATGACTGCGACTATTTTTTTAAACACAGCCATCAATGGAAGTATAACGGGCTGACAAGCAACAGACTTCAAAAACGTCCTCGCTATCAGGTCTTCGTCTATCCGATCGTTGATTTATAGTACCATGCATGTCATATTGCTTCCACGATCCTCATAAGTAGGCACTTTTTTGTCAACAAAGAGTAGGTTACACATTTTCTTAGAGGTAACGAAGTACTTTTTCACAACGAGTCTAAATTGTCGCGCCGTTGAAGTATTTCAGAAAGTGTGTTTTAGGCAAGTGTTGATATGGAAACTTGCAATTGCGCTTGTTAAAGACCATGAGTTAAATGAGTTAAATCGACTATTCAAAGAACAGCATAAGGATTAGCAGTATGGCCATCCATCGTACTGCTGATCCATAGCCGTTGCAGAAATCCGTCGAGCAACAGCATACCTCCCCTAATTCACCGCCGCTGAAGCAGCTCCTGTCCGACGACGAGTACCGTCTTGTGGAACGGTGTTGGTGATGACTGGAACCGCCTAAATTAGTACAGTTTCATACCGAACGTAAGAAGATATTTGCACTGTGAATGGATATGTTTGCAGACACGACTGGATTACTTTCCAAAATTAATGCTTGATTATTAAATTAGGAAAGCTACTCTTCATTAACGAGAGGGGTGGAAATAAAACTTTGTCAACTAGTACTATTAACAAATTTCCTTCCAGTTCTTCAGACTCCTAAATCTACAGTTTGTATGAAGAAGCTTCGTGAACTTAAGAAAGCCTTGTTTTCATGGTGAACTGTTTATGCGACACTGTAGCGCAGTTTTTAACCACATATTTCCTTGTGGATACATTTAAGTAGATATTAGATTCCTTAACAAATGGAGTATCAGGATGGATTCGATCGAGCAAATACCTCACTTTAGGGTCGACACATTATTGGTCTTTTCTAACAGGGTCTTTCCCTAATATTCCTCAACGCTTACGCGACCACGTGATTTTTGTGGGAGGTGTTTCTCAAACCACATAGAAATCATTCTGTTTTCGGTGGTTTCTTTTGATGGACAGAATAGCTTTCTTACACTTTTTGTAACCATTCGAATGGCTATTTGACTTGGATGTTGTGGCGCTTATCGGGTGGGAAAAGCTATTATGCTCTTCGAAATACATGAAATACTTTTAATTAATACTTTGTATTGTATGTGCTCTTTTTATACGGAAGTAAAGGTGTGCTGTATAGCAACTGTGCGATTCCTGAAAAGGAAAACGATATATTTATAATCCAATGCCGAAGTTAACAGAAAGTCGAACTGGCCTGGGAACTGTTAGAATACTTTTTTCTCAAACGAGTTCATTAGCTGGTAATTTACAAGCAATTCACTACTACTTCAGCTCCAAATTTCTAAACAAACACAGATATATGGGTCTTGCAGTGATCCCTCGTCTTTTTTACCGACGGAAAGGCTGTTGACAACAAAGAACATCAGTGGTGATCCTACTCGGGTGCACAATGGAGGAGCATTCCCGATTTCAACGCGCACCGCACAAAAATTAACCGTTGTCGCCAACTGAGGAATTTGTTTTGAATGAGATTCACTAAAGACAGAAAGAGTTGTTTATTTCATCCGGAAATCCAACATAGAAAACCTGTTCAAGGAAACGCCGCCTTGACAGAAAATCGAGGTACCAAGCTTCCTATAGCTGCACAAGGACCGATAACTACTCCTAGGTTCAGCGTAGAAAAACTTTGGCACAACTTCCTCACAGGCCAAATGAGAACAACTAAAAGTAAATCTATGACTGCACTGTACATACATTCCTCGCGATACTCTAACTCGACAGAAACCGAAAAGAGAACGAAGCATCGAATTGCCCTAGAGATCACCGACCAAATCATCACGTTTGGGCCATACGCACCCAACACTGATTCACGTCTCACAAATATCACGTGAGAAACGAAGTAATATATACTGGTTCACGTCCTGCAAATATCATTTGAGTAACGAAGTAATATACCGGTCTCTAAGGTCTCCCGAGGGGTCGGCCTCCGAATTCTATACCACTTTTCTGTAATGAGCGAAGATAAAATATCCAACTGAATCACGTGACTTCTATCATCATTGGGTACAAGGTCCTGGCAAGAAGCATTTACGGCATCAGTATGGACGTTTGCTAATTCACAATTCATTGTGTCGACTCGCGAAGAACGTTATCGGTATTGGCCATTTTCTATCTTAAATTAATTCCCAGAAAAAAAGCATTATTGGGCGCAAATTAAACACATCAAAAAATGATCACGTTGCTTTTCTTTTCGAAACCTTTTTCCTTAAGATAACAACTGTCGGAATCCACCGTATTTATAACAGCTAAATCAGTCTAAATCCTTCCTTTCAAATTTCCAGTCGCGATCATAACAATAAGGAGAGGAGGCAATTATAGAGGAAGGTCTAAACATTTTCCCTTTCATGCTACCTACTTCTTAAACTAAACTTTCTTTACTGTAGACGAAAGAAAAGCACAATTAGACGCGTTTGTTGAATGTCATGCACGAAGTAGAAGAAGAATTTATATAATGCAAATCAACTACCCACAAATGGCTTCCAGGTAGCTGTCTGTGCACTAAGGACTCAGATTTCTGCACTCATATACACGATTCCTAAAAGCTGAAAGTGTGTACTATCACCTCAACCACCAAGAAAACTGGACATAGCCGGTAGAGTGCCTGAAAGAAAGACGAAGGAGTCTATGGTTAATGCTTTTCAACTGAATTCACGGGTGAGCAGATTCAATGACCATGAAAGGACACTCTCAGACGACGTGATTCACGAAATTGACCACCTTCGTGAGCTCCAACAGCGAATGGTCCAACGGACTGGATGAGGTCGGATGCGCATGGTTTGTAAACACGATCCACGTTCTAATTAAATAAGCAAAATGCAATTATGCTGGATCTAGATTTATGGATTCGACGAAATATTTGCAATCATAGCTAAATGAAATGATTAGAACTGAGAGATGTATGTGAACTTCTTCGAATAGAAGACGTACCGTTACTTCTATAAATGTAATCCGGATTAGCGATCCACCGCCTCGATAGATTCGGTGCACAAAGTGAGATTTGAGCCACAGAATTGCCTGTACACAGCTATCATTCGAAAATGAAGTTGATTCAACTGATTTCTGTTGTGCCTCCTGTTACTTCCGTTTCATGTTATCATTACATCATCCATTTCGTTACTGAGCAAAAAAAACAGTTGTGCTATAAAGGACAGAAACTGTAACTTTACCATTCTTCGTTATGGGTAATTTGAAAAATTTCACATTTGGCTGTCGTACTACTTTTTACAAGAACTTTCTCGAAAACACGAATAAATCACCTCTTGTTTCTCGACAACCCTAACATAAACTGTACTATTAAAACACGTCTGTGCATTCAAAACTCAAATAGAGAACTGATGTTCTTATAGAAAGACGGTATTCTTTAATCAGGTTTTTGGCTCGTTAGATTTAATTAGGCTGGAAATATCGACAACACTGACCATCACACGAGCGTTGGACGAGACCGGTCCTCGACCTGACCGTAACGCAGTACGACTGTGAAGTGCACTTGTGCTGCGAATCCAGAGGACCTGCAATGACCCATGCGGTCAACATCATAGGTAGAACATTTTCTAGGTAAAAAGACTCAGATCGATTCGAATTGCCATGGATATGCACAACTACTGCAGTTATTATTGAGATAGCTCAGTAATAAAGTGTAATAAACAAAAAAGCACTTATGGCAGTGCCCTACATGATTAAAAAACAATTTAAATGAATGTGAATTTTTCCTTCAGCCTAAGATTTCTCTCAACGCCACGCATTTTCTCGTGTTTGCTCTAGGTAGAAGCTAATGCAGTTTATTGCAGACGGTTGGTGGTTCGAGTCCATACTAAGGTCGGTAGAGTCCCTATGATAGCAGATTTCTCCACAAATAACAAAATTTGATGTCTATAATTAAATTTATCACGCTTATGACTCTTAAGGTCTACAAATTGGAATAACACATGAATTTACCTCCTAAATAGTCCCGTATTTGCAAGAGAATATTGGACTCATGAAAAAGGGAGACGATAAGGAGATAGGGTTTTAAAAATATGAGCGGTATTTTAATTAACATACCTGAAAAACAGTAAAGGGATTGAACTGCTGGTAGCAATAACAAAGAGAGCTGCGCATGAGCACGCACCTTCATGTTTTGGACAGCGGACACAGTGAAAGACCTCTGATCAGGCAGCAGATCTCCGAATCTGAGAAATTTACAAAAAAGAGTTTTCCTCTTTTATTACGAAACGTGAACATCCATCGACCTAGACTACATCTGCTGTTGACTTTCGGAAAAAAAACTGACATAACAAATGACCTTAAGTAAGTACAAATGGACGTGAGAGATGAAAGAACGGTGAAGAAGAAAATTAGTGCGGAATTGGAACAAATATTGGAATCGACTTTCCCCTACGATTACTTTTCAAGGCAATCTACTTGGAAGCGCATAAATAAAGATGAGAAGTTTCGAAAAATAAGCAAGACTACCTGCAAACTCTGGCACGCTCAGTGCTAAGTGAAGGGTGAAGAGTATATTGGTTTATATATTGGAAACCATTTCGTCGTACTAAAATACACGCTGCTAAAGACGAAATAGATTCCCTACGAAACGCGACAGCAAAACAAGAGTGGGTAGAGCCCAGGAAACGAAAAGCTGAAAGATTGACAAATCAGAGCGAAAACAGTTGGCTGTGGAAACAAACGCACGCTCTACAAAACCGCTTTGTCGGATGAATGCAAAAAGCAGAATACATGGAGCATTTCAAAAAAACCTACAAAAAACAAGAATAGAATATCAGCGAGAGGCTCAAGTCAACATCAGTCAAGTTTCACCATTTCTTCCCGTTGAATGACGAAGGCGAACATCTAGCATCACACTGCTTAGAAGTGTGTATCTATTCAAAATGTTATATGAGGGAGGGTAGCCAAGAGATGCTCGAAGAGCTTGAAAAAACATGGTGTGGTGGTGAACGCGTTACTCCCCGGAAAGGACAATAGCGCGTTCGTTCTCCACCTTAGACACCTGCGGTCCAGAGTTTTGCAAATATCTCAGCAACGTTGTGGTTGCATTATGCGTCACTTGAACACGGCATACAGCCCCGTGACGAACCCTCTCGAGAATTTCTGTGGCGTAGGTAGAAATTGTAGCGTTTAGCCTGTTCGAAATAGTCCATTCCAAGCCAACCACACACTATTTTGAAAACCACAACATAAACGAGAAACCTGAACAAAATTCCCACCACCGACTTTCTGTTAACCTCGGCATTGATCAAATAGCTCTCGATATTCTCGTTGAGCAAGCACGAGGTGTTTCTTTATTCTTTATTCCGGTAAAATTGACGTTTCGGCGGTGTCGACTTCTTCAAAACCGTTTCTTACCTGCCTTTCATTGAGGAGGAACAGCTGATCAGAGTCGCATGTGGCTGATGAGACGGCTCTGAAGAAGACGATGTTGCTGAAACGTCGGCTTTAGAGGAATAAAGGATAAAGTAACACGTGGTGTTTGCTGAATAGGAACATAATATGAAGAACTGTTTGAACAAAATTCTCGGAACGACTATTCGTTAACGCATGTGCTTCAGTGACAATTACTTCTAAGCCGTTCAATTAATCAACATAGGATTGGTATCGAAAGCCAAGTAACAAGAACATTCTTGTTCATTTCCGTTCTTCCCACCCTTCACACACAACGAGAGCGATTGTGAGAAACATGTTTCGAACAGCCACCTCTGTGTGCACTACCAGGAAACTAAAGGAAGAATCGCGCTACTTGGCTCGGCAAATAGCCATCTCCAATGGCTACGAAATAGTAACCCCACGAGATAAGTTTACAAGGACAACGACGCGCCCACGCGAAACACTTGGCCAAAACAAAATCCCGTTTATGTTGCCTTTTATAAGCGATGAAGTAAGCGCAGCTATAAAACGATGCTTAAGAAGGGCAGGTCTAGAGGAATCGGTAGCGATAGTTGAAATACCACCGGCTACTCTACGTCGCCAATTAGTTCGCAACCGCCTGTATGACCGTCTGTGTGAAACAACAAATTGCGTAATTTGCCCTTACGGCAGGGACGGTGATTGCATGAGTTCAGGTACGATATACCTGATCTCGTGTAACAATTGCGGAGATGAATATATTGGCGAAACGGGCAGACCTTTGTGTATCCGTATAAAAGAACACCTAGATGGCAAACGAAAACTAAGACGAAGCACCCCACTAGGCACGCATAGGATACAAAAACATAGCGGAGACGATTTTGAAGTAAGAGTCAATATCCTTGCACAGGAGACTAAAACACCAGCGCGAAAACTTCTTGAAGCTTTTTGGATAAATGCCAAAAACCCTACAATGAGTAGCAGCGACGAATGCCCGGAGGTCATACGCGACCTGATCCCGTATGTTCGCATCGATTTTTGATGTGGGATGGTGCAGTCGTCAACCATATGCGACTATAATCAGCTGTTCTAAACTTCCTCATTGGAAGTCACGAAAAAGCGGTGAGTTTTTCGAGAAGTTGTTGATCATAGAGTTTTTCGTCTTTTTGTAAGTGTCACTGAAGCGTTTGGCCTAGTAGATTGTATATCAGTATACCCTTCCAGGCTCTGAAGAAGGCGATACTGCCGAAACGTCAGCTAGCGTTGTATTGCATTGTTTTTTTTTTATGGAAGTAAATGTATACTGTTTGGAAACCTCGTGATTGCTGAACAAGAAAACAACAACATAGGATTGTCGTACAATATTTGTTAGAATAGACTATGACTGCCTTTCTGTCCGATAATGACATGAGCGTGGAACACAGATATTTTGTAAACAACTAGAACTGAGTTGTAATCATGCAATTGGAAGAAACTCGTGCAGTCTCCATCTCCACGGGCGCTTCGAGCATCTCAGAACCCTCCTTTCTTATACACTTATGAGTAATAATAATGACCTAACATCATCTAACTAAAAAAGCCGATCATCCTTTGCGCGCAAAAAAACGTGTAGGCAAGACAAAAAGATCACTTCAAATCCCTACTATGTCTCAGATACAAATTCAAGACATTGGAGGCTTCGATGTAGCGATCAGGACCTCAGAATGGACCTACGAACGTCAACTTGAAAAACTTTTGAAGTGACTCTGTTAAACTTCATAAGTAGATGAAAATTCCGGCTAGGTTCAATGGCCTTCTACTTCCAGGGCCCTCTTCTAATAGTGTTTGGCCTTCCACTTCACATAAGAAGGAAAAGAAAACTACTTCAACAAAAACCCTTCGGTTGCATACACACTGTAACGGTTTCAAAAAAAAAGAAAGTAGAAGACAAGAAATGCTTACTTAGACGAAAACCCAATTGTCGTTAATTGTCGCATGAAATGAGGTGAACAAAAATCGTATCAGTGGTGGACCTTTACGATTATTCGAGAAGAACAAAGTGGACGACGTATAAGACGAACTCAGTCGAATTTTAATCAGCTGTCTGGAGCAGCAAAATTATGTAAGTTGAAGTGCAATATTTTTCTCCAGCGAAAAGGATAATTGAGTTAACAACGCTGCATATAATTTTCCCTGGACACGTATTTGGCGTATTGTGTTCTCGTTTCTGGAGGGAATAGCGTTGAGAGAACGCTATCTACCACCTGGAAATTCGGAACGGTGAGTGTTGCACGGTTGGTAGACCTACCCGATAAGAGGTACACTAATAGTCCTCGGAGGAACCGCCGCGAAGACTCCCAGCGGAATTTTTTAATGAGAAAACGCCTCAATCAGGCGCTCCCACATAGTTTCGTGAAGTAAGGCATGGTAAAGCTGGCAAGCTACTTCCGTCTTTTGTAGAACTGTTGCTAGTTCCGAGATTATGCTCAACTATATTTGTACAGCCACTCACCAAGTCGTCGTCAAACGAATTTTCCACGGTTATTCTCACTGCAGCGAGCTCTACGGTACGAATTAAGACTCGGAATAAAAACGAAACTGGTAATGAATAGCACTTGCATCTCTTTAAGCGCATGAAATCTACTCCTACTAGTCTTGACCAGTCGTCTTGCATTAACTTGAATTGGCTCCTAAAAGGATTGAGAATAACGGTGGATAAAAACGAATAGCGTTCGATTAACCAAAGAACATCTAAAAACAGACGTTGTTGGCCGCTTTCGCCTTCTTTTTAGCATGCTATGACCACATGCGGACGAACCACGTGTGCTTGCTGTCATACAACAATCATAGTAAAAATCCCAAGAGCTGTTAACATAGAATGCGTTTACTTGATCAAACTATGATAAATGTTGGTACAAAGGAAACAGGGAATGATCCGCGTAACAACTTGTTTAATGTTTCGAAAGACAAGCAGTAAAAAATAACAGGCCATTCGACGATACGCCATAACCCATAGCCCCAAGTGAAGAGCATTATTAGCGAGCTCTATTTCCTAATATGCGGAAAATCGTACTTTTCACCACTTTTTCGCTGAGTTTATCTATAACATGTTTAGTATCTCGGGAAAAAGTGAAAATTCCAAGCCATTCGAAGATACGCTATAAGCCATAGAACCAGCCATGACAGAAGAGTATTACTAGACATGATGTGCCAAAGGATTTCAAACATCCGATTAAACCAAACCTCAATTTTCGAATTACGAATTGAGCTGGTGCCTCTCGACACGCCCTCTTCTTGGAAATGGATTTTATAATGAGGTCTATCTACTCGACATCTCCTATTGAAGACACACCTTTTGAAACGGACCAGTTTTGCTGTACATTGCTCAATTTTTACTCAATGTATAAAAAATCGGCCAACTTTTATATATACATGGAACAGTAAACACATATGGAGGAGAGCCAATGACATCGAGTATCTTTTGAGGAAAAAACCTTATTTCAACGCTCTGTTTTTTCCAAGAAGGAGTTCGAAATACTCGTCACTTTGAGATTTTATTGCTGTAATTCGAAAACATCATCTGATTGTATGGGAGGGCCATTCTCCGATCGCCAGATCGTGGCCGAGGAATGCGCGTTGCAAAAATCTGAGAAAGCGTTAGCAAAGCTCTCGAAGGATTCCAAAAGAACCAACCTTTCGATGATTAGAATTCATTCTTCATCCATGAATTCATGAAGGACTACTTAAATGAAAACCGGACCTACATGTCCGAGAAGGATCCGAAAATTTTCAAATCCATGAGAGAAATCCCTTCGTGGATGATGCATGAGAGGAATCGAATCTCAGAAATGATGGGATACGCACAAAAAGATGACTCCACAACACTGACTTTTTGTGGATTGATGAATGACAGAGATCACGTTTGAAAAAAGTGCGCGGGGAACGACAGGAAG